AAAAGATGTTCACTGGGTTGACTGCCATTTCACGTGTAGAAGGCAGCAGAAGAAGAGGAAGACTAAGTCGAGAGTCGGCGCTGCAAGCTACTGTGCAAAATCGCTTGTCACCCTATAGAAGTAGGAATTGACTCTACAGCGGACAATATTATAAGCAAGATATCAACCGAGTAACCTCACTGGGACTGAGAAAGTATGGCACAGCCACGCTGCTTACTGCATGCTCGCCATCAACTTTTCTTGGCTGTAATTGAAATCACTAATTTACTTTGTAAACTGTGGATAGCAAGGTAAGAAAGAGAATGAAAGCAGGCAATCTCGCCTTTGGGGTCGGGAAAAAGTGGAAGACAACATGGACAACAAGGTAAGACGATTTTCTTTTTGCAATATCCCTTCCAGTCATGATCGCCTTTGCTAGCAGACTATTTTATCTTCTCATGTTATTTTGACCAAGAACTTGGTGAGATTGTTTCTCTTTCAAGTCCGTCTTTTACTGCAATTTGCAATAAACATTGAACTAGCTGCACAATTGCATTGATTGCAATACTATTAATTTTGTTTTGATTTATTTTTTGGGTATTGGTTAAACTGACTTTTGGGGGTTTGCTTTATGATCGACTGCAATTTCGCAAATCATTTTCTTTATCCCTATTTTTATTTTCTCATCCTATTTTACCTCAATCTTAATCCTGAATCTTTTTACAAATGTTTTTGTTTTCTCTTCAAATCTCTCTTTCACTGCCATTTATAATTACAATCGAACCAACTCAACTATTGCATTCTCCCCATGGACGAATATGCAATGGTGTTTTGCATTATTTATTTTTGGGCATTGGTTTTACTGACATTAGGGGTATACTTTATCCATCTGTACAGAGCACACATCCATCATCTTGATGGATAGAAGTGATGTTAATTTAGTTTATTAATAGCTGAAGAGATCGCCATCTACAGTATTACAAGACTGTCATCAATATTTGCTTTAGACTAGATGGGATGCTTACTGATAGATAGGCTGCAATTTTGCAATCCATTTTCTCCATCCCTATGTTGATCTTTATGTTCTCCTCCTATTTTACCAATGTTTTGTTAGGGATGTTTTCATTTTCTCTTTCAAGTCCCTCTTTGACTACGATTTGTAATAGACATTAAACTAACTCAGCAATTGCATTGACATAGACTACTTTTAATCATGCTTTGCTATATTTATTTTTGGGTATTGGTTTTACTGACATTGGGGGTATATTTTATCCATCTGTACAGTATACACATCAATCATCTTCATTGATTATGGAAGCAATATTAACTTAGTTTATTGACACTCTCGTTAAATTGCACTGAGTACAAGATACAAGGTTAGCTTTACATTTCACGCAAATATTATTCCTTTTTCATTGGATTTACTAAGCAGTAATCCTTTCCACTCCTGATGATGAGTTGAGAGTGTTGAAGATTCCATTGCATGTCCCGTATATCGAAGTGAGGGAATGGTAGAGTGATTTGTAGCTGTAGTGTTTGGGGGTTATAAATATTCAAACTAGAGTATTTTTGATATAGGATTAACTGCTTGTCCGACCATAGATTTTCATGGTTGAAGAATTGTGTTGCGAAATTATCGAAGTATTTGTCTTTGTCTTTGTATCTTTTCACGCGTAAATGTCCATCTTGGTCGAGTATCTATAGGCATTGAATTTTATGATTAGCACAACCTACGTTCAACAATGATTGTAAACGTCACATCCAGTTATCGTTGTCTTACTGCTATATGGTCTCCATTTTCCAGTAGTAGCAAAAGCCAGCCAAAACCCTATAATGAATTGAATGGAATGGAACGATCAGGTATGGACTAGAGTAGAGCTCCTTACATAATCAACTCATTACAGTCGTTGTCATCCTCCTTCCAACTCATTTCCATATTGACATATTGATCCCTGCGATCATTATGACTTACCCTTGCATTAGCAATCATTTCGGCATCTTTCTCTCCCCATACATCAACTAATTTTTCTTTCTTCATCCGAAGAGGCGAATGTTCAATCTTATGAGGGTTATAATTCATCATTATTTTACAGATTAATCCTTCCTCCCCTTGGTAGTCAATATTTTGCAGTAATTCACCATCCCCAAACTTGTAACACTACAATAAATTCAAGTTGGAAATGTCGTTAATGGTCGTCTCCATTTGCAATAGACGTCAAAGTCGACATTCAAGGCTATTTTCGACATGAAACTAAACAGTCAATTTATAGACGGTTCCACTTTAGAATAGAGATTAAATGGAAATAAATTATTCTAGCTTACTTTCAAGCTATATTCACCATCTTCCATCACTTTCCAAACATAAACATAATCATCATCAACATACACAACATGACTCCATTTCAGTCGATCAACGCTCTTCATTCTGGTTGTAAGGTTAATAGTTATTATCCAGCTATTGAATGCGGAGAATATCTGAAATAAATCAATTCATTAATTCGACCAATTGACCTCCAACGTAATTGTAAAATCAGTTCAACAACTTCTCATGTTAGCTAATAAGCATTCTCATTTTCATCATCTTCTTCTAAATAATACTACCGTCATTTTCATACAAACTTCAAACTGGTATTTTCAACATACGTTCAAGAGAATGAGTGTGTTATCCTTCTTTCTATATCTGAAGCGTATCCAATCTTCAGCAGTCGATTCTTCTTCAAGTATTCCATTGATTAATTCCCTGTACTTTCTACAATCTTCTATACCTACAAACTCGATCAGCTGCAACCAATCAATATTATTCAATTCAATTCAATGGAGCAGAGGATTGAACAAAGTCGATAGAGCTACTAGTGCTGATGAAAGCTTAACCTACGTCGAATATGTTGACGGTAGTTTGGGGGTTACGTTGGGTTACGTCGCTACCAACATCAACTGATTTTGTTTGAGAGATATCTTGCCAAGCAATTTTATCGCCTTAGTTTAATAAAAACGATNTGTGACCATGAATGAATGCATGATTAAATTAGAGTTGTTGTACAACCATCAGT